GGACGCGGGCAGGCGGGCGGCGTCTGCCGGAAAAAACCCCTAAGTTTAAATCGCGTCGAAGCGGCCTCGGTGCTGCCGAGAGGGACCCGCTGTCCTCGGGAGGTCTGGTCCGCCGAAATAGGAAGTACTCGCGGTGTTTTGAAATAGACGTCTCAAAACAAGTGTTCATCGTGCCGGCATGTGAAAAGTGCTAATATATTAAAATGCAAATATGCATGTATACTCGGCAATGCTGTTGCGTGTTTCCTGTTTACCATGTTAATTAGAAGTTGTAAGGGAAAACTTCGCCAAGAGTAATCCAGGGCGGTATTTGACCTAGTAATGCTCATTGAATGATGCAGTGGCTTTTATAGTTCTGGAGGTTTTAGCCCAAAACACAAGCCAAGTATTTATTTGACTTCATTAATGAGAAATGTATGAATTGTAATGCAATTTATGCCTTTGAAACTGTCCTCTACCAGCATAAGTGTCAAAACTAACTCAGCCGGTATGGAAAGTTAAACTCCTCACTTCTATTTTTTGTAAGGAAAATTTTGACCGCACAGTTTGTCCCCAGTCTTGCAGACACCAGGATGCTTTCCTGTGTTGTTTTGGGTGATGTTAAGTAATTGTGCGAAAGTTTGGTATCTGAGATGCACAATGCTGGTATTGTAAGGCGAGATGAGTGTACTTGTAAACAAACATAGACAAAACCGTACCGAAGGATCTTGGGATTTTAATTGGTTTTTTGAGGGGTTTGTTTTTCTTGTTCTTTTTTGAGAGCTAGTATTGTTCAATAAGCTGTTTTGTTCCCATTCACTGTCCTTTTAATTTATAAGTGGTGCTGATACAAACACATCTATTATAGAAACAATTTTGACATTAACCAAATATTTGTTTGTTTGTTTTTATAGTCCACCTCACAATTTCCAGATTCTTCCAGAGAAGAGAATAAAAAGAAACCGGTTTTGGAAAGACTCGGAAATTTGTTTGGTACAGGGAAAAGGAAAAATGTCAAAAGTTCACTAGAACACACTTCACATCGGAAAGGGGAGAGGTCAGTTTCTCCTCACAGAGCACAGCCAGTATACTGTAGGCACATAAAGGAAGGACACGAAGCTCCTCAAGTACAGAAGCAAGTGGGAAATGTAAGTGCGGTTTCTGAGACACAGGAATATAATTTCAGTGGGGAAGTAGGACCGCTGTATCGCGATACCATTTCAGAATGGAGTAGTAGGGGAGTCTCTTCTGACAGTGAGTGGTCAGCAGATTGGAGCAGCAGCAGTGAAACCATTAAAAACTCCTTCTTTGAGAGTAGCCTGAATGTGGAAACCCTGGAACTGGAGAAAGAATCCATCACAGATCTAAACAATTCCACAACCCCAGATTTCATAAAAAGCTTGAGAAATTTGTCTAGTGAAGATTCAGAAAAGAGTATCTTAAGCCACAAGCAGCTCGTGAACACGTGGGTGCCTGAGGAGCCTGGGCATGCAAAACCAAAGGATTTGCCATACGAGTTGGAATCTGCAGCGAGTGAACACACACATTCTGCTAGAGTGCTAACAGTTGATATCTATCTAAGAAAAACAGACGAACTCCTTAATGAACCTGTGACTGCTACATCAGAAGAAAATTGTAGTGACTCGGACACAATGGATAAAAAATCTGCTAATAAAAGATCTGGAAAAAGGAGAAAATCTCAGTCCTCTAGTGACATTCCAAATGGAGAGAGAAACCAGACTGAGACTACTGCAAGAGAAGAATCTGTTTTTGATGATGATGTGCCTTCTGAGGTGTTTTCAGACAAGTTAATAAACTCAGAAAGAAAAGCGAAGTCTCCTCAACAGACTCCTGAAAGAAATTCCTCTTCCTCAGGTAATAATCAGGACCTAAAAGTTGGATCTGCTCACAAAGGGGCATCTAAAACTGAAGCTGACAAAGGCAAACAGCAGATCTCAAACACAACCCCTGCAAGGAGAAGATCGTATAAAAAGAGTCCGTCGGATGCTGTCCCCATTTCCCCTACTGGTTTGAAGGGTCAGGTAAAAGATTATTCCTCAAAAAGGCAACCTTTAGCATCACCAGAGAGTAACCCAATGACAAAAAGAACTTCGGTGGAAAAGGGAACTATACCTGTGGCTTTTGGGGAAGACAGCTTGGAGTCTCCCAAAGCTTCTTTGGCTGGTAAGACAGAAGACACTGCCTTGGTGTTTGCTGAAGGCAGAAATGAGGTCAAGGCAGTAAAGCATGGTAGTGGTTCGGATGGAAGAGCTTTCTTGCGTACTGATGGGATTAAAAATGGAGACCTCTGTGTGTCGGCTGAGAGACAGACAAATTCTGATTCAGACAGCTCGAAGCTGAAGAGTTTGGATGCTTCCAGAACAGTCACAACAAAGATTAGCCTGTAAGTAACATAAACTAGCTTGCCTTATCCCTGTAGCTGTAATTTTGCATGTGTCTGTGTTTAGGTTTCTGTATGAACACTAGTTATGTATCTGTTATCTGTCTAGATTATTTTCAATTAAGAACAGCTTTTTTTTTTTTTAATTTATCAGAATTACAGTTACCACTTAACAAGTGCTGTAGTTCATATGTGTTAGAAAAATAATTCTTTTTTCCATTTTTGTTATGGATAGGGGATTTATTTGTATGTCAATACCATTATATGGAATAATTTAACATGCATAAAAGCTGTTCTGTCGTCATCATCAGTGCCCCTGGTGTTGCTCAGGTTAGCTCAGCTGTCATTGACCTTAATGTAGTTTTACTGTCTGTAACCAACTGAGGATGTGGTTAAAGATATTGTATGTGAAAATCTTCAAATAAGCAATGTGTTCGAGTTCTTGTTTGAAACGTAAGTTCTGCTAGTATTTTATGAGGAAACACAGGATGCAATGTAGAACTTGATCCTTCAAATGATATGATAAATCGTACTAGAAATTTGAATGCACGTAGTTGCTTTCGTAAGTATGTGCAGGTTGAATTGTGTAAATCTTTATGCATGTGAGTAACATCAGGCATTTCCAGAATTATGCGTATATTAGTTTGCAGGATTTGGTTTTACACTCAAAGAGATTGTCAGCTGTTAAAGAGAGGTGATCAGTGCTTTCCTTAGGGTTATAGAAAACTGGATGTATTTATAACTTTCACTGTAGTCCCTAGTATAAGTCCAGAGATTGATTTCCTGGATTCTATTATGTTCTATCTACAGTGAATTATTTTATTACATTTGTTATTTCTGTTATTTGATTGTCACGGCTGTGTACTCTGTGCTCTTGCTTTCCTTATTGTGGTACATTAATTTATAGATGTCAGAGTACATGGAATGCTGTAGGTCTGCCCGAGGTACATCGAGTGTTTGGAATTGTCATTCAGTTATGTTAGAGGGCTGTGAAGGTTCAACATTATGGCTTAAGAAACACGTACATTTCCAATTGTGCTTCCCGCATCTGAGAAGCATAGGAGCATTAGGAACAATTTCCTTTGCACACTTTCTAATACTCTACATCGGATTTGTTCGTTCGTAACTGAATAAAAAACACCTAGTATTGGAAGTTAAATTGTGGTATTTTTGTACGTGGTGATGCTTTTCCATCTGGCAGTACAGATCACAGGTCTTAAACTCTGAAGTTTTGTATCTTCACAGCTTCAACAGAAAGGTAGCTTTCATGATTTTCTCTTTGTGTCACTGTCATTAGTGATGATGAAGTTATAAATGCTTGTGTAGCTGGATTTTGTTTTTCTGGATATCTCTTTGGCTTGCTATACAGTGACTTATCTTCTGCTCTACTCATAAAGTAATAGACAAATATCCTTTCTGACAGATTTAATTTTAATGAATAAACAACCTGTTCTATTTCACCCGATTTTGTGGGGTGTGTGGCACTCTGTGTTTTGGCCTTACCTGCTGCTGTAGGAACTTTAGCCCTGGGTGGGGACCGCTGTGTTGTGTGCAGGGTTCCTGATGCATCTGATAGCTGTCATTGCACAGTACCACGCAGTTTCTTTAGCCAGACAAATTGATACGGTCAGATTACCTGGTATAATTTGTAGTCATTTGTCAGAACACATGAACTGTAAACCTGGATGTCAATTAAACTGCTGTAAAATGGAAAAGGAAAAGAAGGTGCCATTACTGGAAGAAGGTGTGTTTTTGTTCTCCTGTTACTGCTTTGAACTCAAGTGCAGGTAACTTCTCCATTTTCAAAGGTTAAAAAGTTGCTGTTAGATAATTCACATGAATCCCTTTTGGGTTGAAAAATACTGATTTACTCACAGACTCATTTGCCACCTCTAAGATGGATTTTGTATAATCAAAGTAGATTGCACTTAAAAATGCATAATGTCTCTTACTGATGACATTGTGCCAATGCGTGGAATCAAGTTTCTTTAGAAATAATTTCAAAAAAAGTCGGTTTTGCTGGTTCTCTGCAAGTAATGGTAGCATTTTCTATCATTTCTCCTTTTATGTCTATGTACTGGGCAACTTCGAAGTCACAGGATAATTTGCCTCTAGCTTTTGAAAGAGAAACCTATCAGGTTTGAGACTAACCTGAGGTTGATGGTACATCTTAATCAGCAAATAAAACCTCAGGCAGTAGTTACTTTGATGGGCTTAGCGGAAAACTTGGCTTCAGTTGTCATATTTGGTGTTCAGACATGGTTTTGTAGTTGCCTTTGCATTGTAGAATTATTCTGCTCTATTAGTATGCCATTTTTGTTTGCCCAGCTCAATCTGATGTTTTGGCATCAATGTTTTTTGGCATCAGTTACGTGCTTGACATGGTTGTTTGGACAGTATGCTTCAACTGTGTGACTCACCTTCCGTTTATGACTATATTGGGAGAGGTTTAACTGCTTGCTTCCACAGATTAGCTGCAAGGTGTAGCTGAAGAGAAGGACATCAGTCTTGTGCCTGCTTGTTCCTGGCATTGCAGATCAGCAATGGGTAGCAGGAATCAGCCACACTGGGCTGTTCGTAGGAAAGTGTTTGCACTGTTCAGTGAATCCATCTTTCAGTGCTTTTCCCCGATACTGGAGGGGAGGCTTAAAGGATACTCAAACAACATCTCCTTTTAAACAAGCTTAGAAACTCAGTTCTTGCAATAAGGCACATCTTTTGTCTGTGTTTAAAATCGGTATTTCTTAGTGTGGAAAAAGGTGTAAAGAAAAGGTTGGTTAGAGGAGGCCAGCTGTAGTGGATGGAGCTCCAGGGCTGAGCTTTCTATTGCTCTTTGCTCTCACAGCTTTTGCTGCTGCTGCTGCTGTGCAGAAATACTGCAGAACGTAAAATACAAAGTGATGAAGTGGTTGTTTCTGCGTAAATTTGCAAAGCTTGGAACTATACCTTTGAGGTGTTAGCTGCTCATTTAAAACAGGTTTTAGGCGTGGCTGATAACTGTCAGTGTTAACCATTAAACTTGCTTCTGTCAAGGCACGCAGGGAGAGATGGATTGTATTAGGAAGATACATGTTGTTATGTTGAAATGCATGTACTAGTGCAAGTGACACGCTGATAAAAGGGTGGTGTGGAAGTGAGTCTGTTAAGATAACTAGGCTGTTAGGGATACCTCTTGAAAATACAGGTAGAAGGAGAGGATAAGTACATTTTCTGATCAGAAAAGGACATGAAGGGTCCTGGTGAACAGCAACTTCGGTATGTGTCAGTAGTGCGTCCTTGTAGCGGCTAAAGGCTAAGCCTATACTGGGCTGCATTGGCAGAAGCATAGCCAACAGGTCGAAGGAGAAGATATTTGGTGCTCATGAGGATGCATCTGGGGCATTATATTGAGTTGTACTCCTCCCTTCTCTTCCAACTCTCTTCTTCTGGTATGAGAGAGAAGTTCACAAATTGGAATAAGTCCACTGGTGAGCCATTAAGAAGGTGATGGCACTGGAGCATACTGTGTATGAAGAGAAGCTGAAGCAGCTTGATTTCTTGAACTGAGAGAAGAGAAGGGTATGGGTATACCTCAATTTTCTCTTGCTCCATATAGAGGTATTATATAGAAGGGAGAGCCAGATTCATCCCAGAGGTGTGCAGTGAAGGGACAGTGGCTGTGGTTGCAAGTTGCAACAGTGAAGTTTCAATGGAATGTAAGGCAAAAATAATTCACAGTGACAGTGGCTGACCTGCTGCAATGCTTCCCTAGTAAGGCTAGGGTGAAATCTTGACCCTTGGAGATACTCAGAACTTGGTCAGATAAAGCCTTCAGCAACTTGGTCTGACTTTGAACTGTCCCTGTTTTGAGCAGGAAGTTGGACTAGCTGACTTTTGGAGGTCTCTTGCAACTTATGTTTATTTTCCAAAATGAAAAATCATAGCATAATTTAATGTTGAAAAGTTTAGGAAAAAAACTGTCATAGTGCAAATTAAAGATGATGTCTAAATATATTTAGTGTTATGCTGTGTGATAGTTCCCTCCCTGCCCTTCTGCTTTCAGGAATACTTTTTTCCTGTTTCCAGACTTAAAGTTTCCAAGTGTGTTTTATTAGCGCTTACCTGAAGTATGGCCAGTCATTTTTAAGTTTACAGTTTCCTTTTTTATTGATCACATGTTCTTCATAAGAGCCTTCCAGTTGTGAACCAATGCGAGCAGGCTGGTAGTTACAGTGAGCCTTATAGGGAAGTCTTGTCCGAAAAGACATGGTGATTTTTGGCAGTTGCTTTCTGTATTGATTCTTAGGCAGCTGATTTTGTCTTCCTTCTGCTACTTCAGAAAGTTTGTTCCTCATGGTTTTCCCAAGAAAAGAAGCTCTACAATGGAGAGTCTTGCTTTAGTAGGGTTTACTTTCTTACTTGGGATGGATCTCTTGAGGAAGAGGAGAAAGGAGTGATCTCAGGTTTTGGGTTGTTCATGTTAACTCAGTTGTACCTCACACTTCTTTCTTGGGCTAAAGAGATGTCTGAGAGCTCAGCGAACACAGTTTGTGTAGGTAAGAAAGAAGAAAACACTGAAATATCAGAGTGATCCATTGATTGATAGAGCATTTGAGTCCTTGGAGATTGTTGCTGCAAGCCGGTTTCTTTGATCTCCCACCATCTTCAGTTTTTATGTAGTGCAATTTCTACCTGTTTTCCCACTGCTGAGTGTCTCCAGATCCCTCTTCGGAGAACAAGTCTGCCTTTGAGGTGATGGTGGGCTCCTTGACACTCCTTATATCTGACTGATAAATTTTGAAGACACGTGCCCTGCATCTTCACAGCTGTTCATACTCTTCCTGCAGTAGCAAATGACATGGACAAATGATTTTTCCTGGATGTAGGTATCCAGAGGAAGGAGGCTTAAAACCCTCAGGTGCATGTATGTCATCAGCCTTCTGCCGTAGCACATTAGTGCTACGTGTGATGTACTTGTACACGCTTCTCTGTCCACTCTGATGGAGAAGTTTCTGTAAGCGTTTCCCAATTCAGTTATTGTAAAATTAGCAGGGTTAGTTTACACAACTTAAATTGTTAGCTGACTTTACCTGAAGGAAATGGGAGAGTCCTCACATGTGGTGTTAGCTTAGCCAAGTGGTGATGCAGTGATTGGGGACAGTTACCTTTTTCAACAGCGCTAGTGAGGCCAGAAGAGGTCTTTCACTCGATTTAAGGTTGCTTCTGCAGTGTAAGGGCTGCAAAGGATCCGGGCAGATGTCTTCAAAACTTGTTGGAGGGGTATATTCAAATGTTAACCAACTCATTATTGACTTAATGAATTGGGATTTGTTTCCTAAACTCTGTAAGGAATTTCATGCATATAATTTATTCTGCCTATTCACTATTAAATTTTAATATCTGTCAGTCGTAAGTAGTTAAGTTCGCTGCCTCAATTGCAGATGCTGTAGGCAGCTGTGTTTTTGGTTTTACTGAGTATTAAAGAACTACATACATGTTTGAAATGTATTCTCCTTATTTAATATCTATTTTTTTTTGTTGTTTGTATAGTTACTCTTTTTTTAGTTAATTCCTTTTGAGATACCAAAATTTAAACTGAATATGACTAAGGAAAATTTCGTTATAATGCTACCTTTTATTGTTTTGAAAATTATTATCTTTTCAAGATTAATCAAAGACTTAACTCTCTATTACTTTGCCTCCTGTAGTCCAGCCAAACCGAAGAATGTAGAGCTGAATTTTAAAGCACCTACGAATCAAGACAGTTTAGAAAGTGAGCAGGATACTCTTGAAAAACCAGTTAATAAAACTAACAGCAACATTGCCAACAAAATTTCCTTGTTTGAGAATAAATGTGCTAACCAGAGCCAGAGGCCTGTTGACATCCCTGCTTCAAAAAATAATACTGTACCAAGCACATTTGTTGGCAGAGCAAAGCTGAAATTTGGAAAACAACCTAAGGAAAGTGAACAGCCTGATAAAACGTTAAATAAGCAAAGCAGTCGCCAGAAGTTGTTTGAGAATGGCACACTAGAGAAAGAAAGCACTGCAGAATTAAAAGGCAAAAATGAAGAAGGCTTTGCTGCTTACGAGGATGTTGGGAAGACAACAGAACTTAAAGTAAAAGCTGCAATATCACTTTTTAACCAAAGCAGCAAAATTGATGCTAGTAGTGTCTCTCTGAAGCAACCTGATCCAGAATTAACCACAGCTAAAAAAGAAAGTTCGCCTGTTAAACTGTCTTTGCACTCGCCCACTAAAAGTGAAAATGCTCAAGATACTTCCTACCAGAGAAATCACACAAGCTCAGAATTCCACAGAAGTGAAGAAAAGATGCTGCCAAACACAGAGGTTTTATCACCTTGCAATGATGATAAATATCCTCTACCATCTCATCAGGCTTCTAGATCAGAATTTAAGATGGAAAATGGAGATAAAAAGGCAAAGCCGGGAGATTTGAGCTTTGCAGTGCTGCAGTATGGTGACAGCAGTCAAGATAGTGTATTGACATCCGAGCACAGCATCGATACACCAAAGAGCCCAGACAAAACCTGTAATGGATCTGCTGAAGATGACAGCATTTTTGATTCGCCATCTGACATGAAGAAATTTGCTGAAACAATAAAAAACCTGGACAGCTCGGTTTGTTTACCTCAGAAAAAGAAGAGGTCAAAGCTTCCCAAGTCCCCAGCACCACACTTCGCAATGCCTCCCATTCATGAAGACAACTTAGAGAAAGTATTTGATCCTAGTATATTTACTTTTGGGTTGGGACTGAGGAGAGAAAAATCACAGGAGCTGTTACCGGCCCAACAAATTAAAATGCAAAGCCTGGAAACAATAGCCAGAGTCAGGCCCAAGCGTGCATCAACAGAGCAAAGTATCATATTCAAAGCCTTGCAGTCATGTAATAGAGAGGAACCTGCCTTTAGTCAAGAAATAAATGGAAAAGAGAACATTGATGGTACAGATGGTGAAATTAAGAGATCCCGGCTTGAAAAAAGCTCCCTCTTCTCAAGCTTGCTGTCTTCTACATCTAAAGAAAAGTTTTTTAATCCCTCTGTCACCTCAGTAAATAACACTGGAGCGGCTTTTACAACTGACTCCTCAGGGATGCCTCCTTCACAACAGGATGCTTCTGGGCCATTCGGCATGCCTCAAAAATCTGAGGTAATAAAGATCATTCATGAAATGCAACCATGTAAAATTTTGTCTACCTGCTGAATGACTGTTAATTTTGATTTTGCAATTCAGTCTCTTTCAGATATGAAGTTTCCAAGTTTTGTGGAGAAGTACATGCAAGCAGATAATGCAAAAAAAGAACTAAGTTTACAAATGCCCAACTATGGGAACGCTGAGAAAAGTTTTTCCAGCTGGTTAGGGACAAGCAGATACGAACCAAATGTCCCCACTAGTTTATTAGATGTGGATGTAAGTATTGTTTAAAATCTGCCTGGGAAGTTATCCAGCTGTTATGTTTTCTATAGACGCTGTGCATACATTGCTTCATTTTGTTTCCCCTCTTAGGGAAGTATGGAGATTACAAATACACGTAGGTATCGTACCAATTTCATCTGATGTTGGCTACACATGAAAATGAGATGGCATCTATTACTAACATGATTATGTTTCTTCCACCATTTGCCCTTATTTTGAGGCAAATTATTATTATCATTGACAAATACGAATTGAAAGTGCATGTTTGAGTAGGTCTTCATACTTGGTTTTGTAACAAATTTTTTGGTTTTTGAAACAAATCTCATGCTAACTTTTTTTTTTTTATTATGAATTAGTAGAATGCTTTCTGTGAACTTCAGAAAACTTGTGCATATTTCTTCTGTTGACAGTAATCTCTCTTATCATCCAGAAAGACATTCAGCCATTGCACTGTTAAATGAGTAACAGGGCAAACTTGTTTTAGCCCTCTTGGTTTTGTTCCCGGTATTCCCATGCATTTGATAGAAAATATATATTCTTTAAGAATACTTTGAGAACTGGATAGTAGTGATTATCGGCAGTGCTGCTACAGTGGAGGGCTGTCCCTTTGTTTGGTTATGAGCATCTATTCATCGTGAGTGAAGGCAGACCTACATTCATCCTTCAAGGCAACTTTACTGTAATGTGGGAGAACTTTGTAATTTCTGTTTTCAAAATGGTGAACCAATGTCCTATAATATCTGCTATTTCTGTTGCTGTGGGCCCTTGCTGTTACCCCAGAGGAAAACTATTAATCGGGAGATCCAAGAATTGTGTGAAGAAATGTGTTCTCCAAAGTTTAATGGGCAGATTAATGTGACCTGTAGAACTGAAGCAGCATATAAGGAGTTTCGAGAAATACTTTTCCAAAGCTAATGGTTACCTGCTGTTGCAGTTCTACTAAAAGCAGTTGGGGAGCAGTGGAAATAACTCTTTTCTTCTTCACCTGGTAGAAGGAAATCATCCATGGTACCTTGCAATTTGAGGATATAGATTTTTATCTCGTGGGAAGTTTTTTAATTAGTGTGGGGTTGAAAATTAGGGGGATTATTTGCAGTGGTGTAGACTTATGCTGTCAGATGAAAAGGCTTCCTTACTCTGAATGATCCTGCTTGGATTTCAAAACCTGACTAGTACTGGTTTTGGTTTTTTTTTGCTACTTGAACTGTTGTTCCTGAGTGAGTTTCAACTTTACTGAAAAGTGTGGAAGCCTCATGTGGCAGGGGGGTATGTACACACATAAGACTGCTCTTGAGAGAAGCCCATTGGCCTCCGAAGGGTGCCAGGACTTCTGCAGCACTGATGCTGACTCTGAATCGTCTTGCTCAAGTTAGACAGGAACCAAAAATCTTTCTACGATGTGTATCTACTGTGCATCTTCCACTGACTAAGAAAATGATGATGCAATGGATAATGGGTAATGTGAAGGAAAAGACTAAGAGCATCCCCAAACAATGACTTTGGCATTCCTTAAAACACAGAGCAAGTTCTAACTGGAATTGAAGCACAGGCTAAAAAACCGGTCATGCTTCAACATGTCTCGATGATGCCTACAAAAACCTGATGGTGGTTAGGAACTCTGTCCAGAGACCACTGCCTGCTCTGTGTGCTGAGTAATACGTTCTCATTAGTTCCTTCCACATGTTGCTGGTTATCTTAGGCTGCAGCCTGTTTGGGGGCAGGATCTGTTTGGGGTTTTTTTGTTTGTATGAATAGTTCCTAGAAGAGCAGGACCTTGTCCCAGAATGTCACTCCTGTCCTTGCCAGGAAACCAAACGCATAATTGCAAAGCTTTCTTAAGATTACGTGATGCAACCACAATTTTCCCATATATTCTATATCATATAATTTACCACTGACTTCAGCATTGTTTTAGGTTTTGTATACTTCAATGTGTTTTATTTGTTCTCGGCATTTTTAGTTTATCACTTATTGTACAGTCTCATGCTTTTTGATGAAACCTGTCTCGTTACAAGGTGTTCAGCATAAAATTGATTATGCTAGTTAGCTCACACATGTATATGCCATCATGCCTCCTCAGTCTTTTCATATATAACTTCAGAATTATTTCATGCTTTATGGTTACTAGACACCTAAACTTTCATTAATATCTTCATCATTGTAGAGCATGTACTTTTTTAACATCAGTTTTGTTAGTCTTTTGGTATGAAACTCCTGGAGTATATAGGAAGCTGATCAGAAGGATTTTAAAGCATTTCAAGTCTGAGGTTAGTTGGCTTCAGTGAGATGATAATTCAGAGTTTAAAAAAAAAAGAAAAAAAGGTGTGTAAATTTGTACATTTATGACAAGATATTGTTCTTCAGGAGGAAGAAGGAATTGAAGCAGTAAGTAGGTGTACTTGAAGGTGTTACCAGCTTTTTGTTATTCAGACTAATTTTTATTTTGTTTCACTAGCCCCTTTTTTTTTTACAGCTGAGCATCTTTATTGACTACATTTTTAGTTTGGGTGGGTGGCCTTTTTTGTGACTTTTCTCTCCCCACTGTCTATTAGGCACTTTCAAGGAATGGACAAAGTAAAATCAATCCCAGACCTGGCAAGGTAAGATCAATTTTACTATCTTTACTGTTTCTCTCTATATTTAGAGCGTAGCAAGATAGAATTATATGTTGTTGGTGTTTGTTTTGTTTTGTTTTTAACACAGCTGGTGATATACTGTGAATCAGACTATCAAAAAAATGGTATTGAAGTTTTCCATGATGTTCTGGATTGCAGTTCTTGGGTTCTGTCACCAACAATTTTAGTTAAAGTCATCAGAGGATGGTAAGAGATTAATTTTTACTCTCTATCATTGGTCTATCTAAAAATCTTTCGAAACAGAACCAGTGTGTAATTCACAGTAAATCTGCCTTGCAAATGGCAATGTAACGTAGACACTTATGAGCAAGAAATGTGGCATTTTACCTGTGCAGTAGGAGGTTCTGGGCTGGGAAACCTATTTTGTTGACAAATTGAGTGGACATTACCATTTGGAGGGGTGCAACATTTCACCAGGCATAGATGTGGGATGAAATGACAGATTCTGTTCTGCACTTTGACTTGTCTCCCCTTTATGGGTGTATTTGTTTTGGACTAAAAGGCTAGCAAAGGATTTTAAAGCCAGGTCCGACATGGGTTTGTGTGCAAAAGATCAATTCCATGTCCAAAGGTATAAGGTGGTGCTGTAGAGATAATTCACTGTTTCTCTGATATTCCAGAGGGAATTCTGCTCTAAAAGCTAGATTGCCTAAGGGTAATTAAACCCAACTTAATCTCCTACATTCTTTGTAGCATTAACAGAGCAGCCATTATTAGTGTGGATAGCATGACAAGTTAAGTTGTGGCCAGGCTATAATACAGTTAAATAGCAGGTTCTCAAAAGTAGCGATCTGATAGTAAGCTGCAGAAACAAGGGCTAGCTGCAGCAGGAGGTACTGAGAAGCACACTGATTGCTATTTAGCTTCAGAAAACTGGAATGAAAATATTTTTATCTGTGTGAACCAGGTCCTCTTTTCTGGCATGGAATAGGAGACTGTTCCCCGCCCCCCTTCAGCTGAGAGCTCCAGAGGAGGGTTTTGTGTTTGCAGATAAATGGAGTTTTTATCTAGCTAGATATTCAAACCTGCCGTTAAAAATAAAGTTGTGCTTGTTTTCTGACCAATCTTATCATCCTTTGGCACATCTATACCAGCCTCTATGGAACTCCAGGCTGCTGTTCACAGGATACAAGTAACTTGTCTGTTTATACATGATGCAGGAGTCTGCGGTGTCAGCACTTTCTGACCTACAAATTCATTCTGATTAGTATCTCATGCAAAAGACTGTAGTGTTGCTGCCCCAAATCATCAATTTAAAAAGGTGGAGAAGTTTTTGATGAAATTACAAAGTCAACAGTAGGCACTTTGTTTTTATTATTGCTTTTAAAAGTATCACAGAGACCAGAAATGGCTTGCATCACCAGTGTTTGGCAAAAAAGCTGTATTGGGGTGGCAGGAAGGGTCTGGAAATAATACTTCTTATGAAAGGATTTGTTGAATGGGAGCATGATCATGGGTTTTGCAAATCATACTTGATAAACCACCATTAAAAATGGGATTTTTTTAATTTTAAGCTGGATACTCTATGAGAAACCAAATTTTGAAGGCCCCTCTATTCCCCTGGAAGAAGGAGAGCTGGAACTCCCAGATATTTGGGGTGCAGGTACTTCTGAAGAGCAAAATGAATGCAAATCTCTAAAGCCTGCAGTGATTGGTTCAATAAAACATGTTGTTAAGGCAAGTAATATAAGTAAAGAAAATTTTGTAGAGATCTTAATGTTTGGTGATGTTTTACAATGAGACAAAGTGTGGTTGGTGTATTAGGACATGAGTGTAACATGAGTTGTAAATGCATGAAACAGTCTTCCATGTTGAATTTCTTGTTTAATCACAAAATAAATGTGGGGGCTTTTGCACAATGGGGATTATGGTAATATCCACTGAAAGGATAGGGCAGGAGGAAAACTTAGTGGTTTTTATCAGAATAGCCTCCAAAATGCTATGTACGGCATATCCTTTTTAGCCTGGCCAATCTCTCAGGAAAAACATCCCAGAAAACCATCAGTAATTCCACAGAGTCATATTTTCAAAAGATGTGTGTGGCTTTTTTTTTTTTGCTTTTTTTTTTTTTTTTAATAAAAACCAAACTCACACTCAACATGAACTTTAGTGTTGAACACCAAACCTTGTTTGATAGCCAAAAAACAGCCTTGTATGCACAGACTTACCAGGGGGTTTCACACATAGTGGAACAGACTTTCCTACATGCACTTTTAACTACCATTAAGTAGTTACCTTTGCAGGTTGTCAAAACAAGCATGAGCTGTAAAGTTACTTGACTAGGAAAGGAAAAAGGTGGAATATATATTGCTTGTAACTACAATTCTTGTTTAAATCACAATTCTCTTGGTGTTATTTTAGGATTTAGTTTGCTAGAAGAGATGTTAACTGATGAAAGAAGGTGCGTTCCTGCCTAGATGGCAGAAAATAAACAATGTAAACGGTGATTAGAGATTGACTGACTGTCTTGGTCCAGAGACAGGCAAGCTGGCCTAGTTATACCTTTATTATAGGCATTTGATAGCAGTACTAATTGACAAGAGGGGAACAATTTAAAATAAACAGGTGTTTCAAAACTGATTTAGTTATCCACATTAATTACAGAACTCGCAGCGCTGATTAAGTGATTATGGCAATCTTAATTTTTCAGGATTACAGGGTTTGCCGAATTGATTTGTATACAGAACCGGAAGGGTTAGGAATCGTGACTTCCTTTTTTGACGACACTGAAGAAACAGGGGTGTTTGGCACCACTCAGAAGACCTGTTCTATCAAAGTACACTGGGGCATGTAAGTGCATAGTTCTGTATGAACGTGTACTGCTATGAAAGGAATTTGTTTTAAACTGTTGGTTACACCTGTCAGACATGCAAGCAGGCTATATTTATTCTAGTCCTATATTTTGGTAGTATTTGTTGACGGTAGTGTTAGTACATCATTGTAATGCTTCACCCTTAGAGAGGCTGACCTCTTAAAATGTTTTGTTAGAGCCAGTTTTTCTTCTGTTTACATGTAGTAAAGACAGAGTACCCCTTGTGTATTTGTAGTGAAGGAATGAGTTTGCTGCTTCTCTCTTTCTCATTCGGGTGAACTTACCATAAGTGAGAGTGGGGAGATGAACTGTTACTATAAGACCATATTTCCTACTTGCTTTCCTCTAAACTTGAAAAGAAGAAAATTTTCAAGCCCTGCTGTTTCAAAATAAGACTTAGTGTCATGTGTGGACTCTGGAAAGCATTCTTCACAGGGCATTTTAATCGGTGTTTTTATGGTGATGTTTAGGACATGTATGTTATGTCACCTGAAAAAATCTAGCCATCTGAGTTAGGAGTGTAAAGTATGTTATGAACTAAGCAAGCTTTTATGAGAAAGGAGACTCTAAGGAACAATCCAAACACTGTACCAATGGTAGTTTTGATAACTTAATAAACAAACTTGTAAATCGATACTGAAAATATGCCTCAAAGTGGTACTGGGAAAAGTATGCAGAAGAGGGAGGCTTCTTTCCGTAAAAGTGAGAGAGTGGAACCGCTTTCAGTGATGTTGAGTCCTGCAGAACAGTTTACAGGGTGTACACACCTTGGTTGTTACCTGTTGGCCGTATTGTGTTTGAGCACTGATAGCATTTGCCTTGCTGCAAATAGTCTATTTAACTATCAACAACTGCCCAACTAAAGACAAGTGCTTCTCTTGGTGCAGCCCAGGATGTGATGGGCTTTCTGGGCTGTGAGTGCACACTTCTGGCTCATATTCAGCTTTTCATCCACCAGCACCCCAAGTCCTTCTCCACAGGGCTGCTCTCAATCTACTCATCGCCCAGACTGTCCCTGTGCTTGGGATTGCCCTGACCCCTATGCAGGACCTTGCACTTGGCCTTGTTGAACTTCATGAGGTTTCCACGGGCCCACCTCTCCAACCTGGCCAGGTCCCTCTGGATGGCATCCCTTCCCTCCAGCGTGTCGACTGCACCACACAGCTTGGTGACATCAGCAAACTTGCTGAGGGTGCACTCAATCCCACTGTCTATGTCGCCAGCAAAGATGTTAAACAGCACTGGTCCCAGTACCGACCCCTGCAGAACGCCACTCACCACTGGTCTCCATTTGGACATTGAGCCGTTGACCAT